CCATTATTGGCTCGAGTCCAGGTAAAGTGAGTACACTTAGGAGTCTGAGCACATTTTGGACCACATAAGTCTGCTGAAACAAGAGTGTTCGAAAGCTCATTTCCTCGAAATGAGCAGGACATAGCCCAGTTGTTGCCATTCCATACTACAGTCGTGTTTGAAAATGCTTGTTGGTGATTAGTTACTATACCGCAGATCATAGTTGTTTCATTGGTTACAACGGCATCGCTTTTAGAAACATTACCAAACTTTAAAAAACAATCACCACCGCTCCAGTCATGCCACGCATAGTGAGTACATCTCTCGGTTTCAGAACATTTTGGCCCACAAAGCGTTGCCAAAACCGGAACGTTAATAAGATCGTTTCCATAAAAATCACACGCGTAGGCCCAATCATTTCCATGCCAATTGACAACAGGATCTATTATTTGAAAAATAACGTTATCAGATTAGAAATGACTAAGCTGCACAATCATACAAAATTTCAGTAAATTTTTTCCAGTTCATTTATAGATCATTCGATAGGGCATGAAAAGTTGGTTGAAAATATATTATTTACAAGCCAATTACATTACGTACTAACAAAAAAATCTAAGTTACTCTGAGGTATTAAAAATAGCTGAAAACGTTATTTTTTTGAGAAACTTTTAATTTTTTCGTTGTTTGCATTATAGTCATTTTCAAAAGATTATTCTCTAGTCCGGCAATGAAAACTGGGTTAAAAAATGATATTTGGTTATGTCTGACATGCAAGTGTTGTCTAGCATGAGTCCGTGAAATAGAGTCACCCGAAAATATTTTGGAGCATCTGTACACAATATTGTGAATCTATCTAGTTTTTTTCTATTTGCCTTTCGCTGTTAGCAAAATTGCGTTTTCTCGATATTTTTCCTCTCTTCAGCAAAATCATATGAATAATGCTCTTATTTAGATGTTTTCACCAGTATCCTGCCGTAATATAGACAAATGAATACTATGTTCAGAATCAGCGGAAAAGACTTCATTGAATCAAAACTTACCCTTCCGGAGATCACATGGAAAATTTCAAGTAATACGTTTGAGGAAAGGGAGGTGTTCAAAAAAAATTACATAAAAATATTTTTTGGATTAAAAAATTCTTGATTCCAAATATAGTATTCATTTGTCTATATCACGGCAGGATACTGGTGACAACATCTGAATAAGAGCATTTTCCACACGATTTTATCGAAGGGAACGAAAAACATAGAAAAACAATATGGATCCGATTGACGGTCAGTGTCCAATGAAGTATCAGTCGTTTTTTAACGAAGAAAACATCAAAAATCGTACCTGCTGGGTTTTTGTTAGGTTTTGTTCCCAAAATAGCTCCAATAATGACTCCCGCAATGAGTAGAACGCTGAATAGGCAAATTGGAATGGCAAATCTCTTCTTGAGATACCACTGACGTCTTGTAAATATAACAAAAAGTTTCATAAAAAGTACAGTTGGGAAAAGATACGAGTAGACTTACTTAATTTTTGGATAAAGTAGTGCGCCTAAACGAAAAAATACTATAAATTTAAAACAACTGATTGAAAATGTTTAAAATACCTTCGAATGGTAATTCTAGTAGCACTTCCTCCGGTCTAATCTGTTTCAAATGTACGATATGAAGATCCGATGCTGGACTCAATTGCGATTGAACTACCATGAGAGTCCCTGGCAGAAGTAGAATTTCCTCCTCAGTATCGAAATACGAATGACCACGTATTATTCGACCATTAATAGCTTCAACGGAGAATAATGTCCGATTACCAGTACTACCCAAATACATGTTGTTCTCAAGAACACTCAATGCAGTTGTGCACGATGAAAATGCCCACCATGTCACTGAGGTGCCGGGTGGAAATTCCGCACTCAAATCCTTAGTCACTCCTCGCCAAACAGTTAGTTGTGGGACAGATGGTAATTTGACCAGGGCAGTTAATAATAGTTTTAGATATTTGAAATAGAGTCGAAGATCCTTGCGATCGGCTGTCTTCAGAGTGTGATTAAGCATCACATAGAGACTCTTATGTGGTGTTTCCCATTCCATTGTGTAAAGGCGAATTGCAGCGCTCTCGTCGATTGTCAGTCCATCGGGTGGCTGTTCCGAAGTTCCATCTAATGCTATTTGAACGTAGAACGATATATTATGAATGATATCAGTAAGCGGAGCACATGCTTTATAAAGTGGTAGCAAAGGTTGATCGGCGTATCCCACAATAGGACCAAGATCTGCTTTAATATCATTAGTGATGTTTGTAGTAGTGAAATTGGGTGCCTTAGCGGTAGTTTCTACAACTCGACGATTTTTTGTCATAGGATCGGCTGATATATTATCATAATCTTCCAATACTACTGCCACTTGTTTTTGATCCAGTTTTTCTTCTCCATTCAAGTCTTGATGTACCATTTCAAACTCGTTCAGTGAATTAATTTTGATCTTGACGTCTGTGCTTCTCATGTGCTGTTCGTTATTCGTCTTTTTATCATCGTGCATCATTGTCAGTAGCTCGGCGTAATCGTGACCATTGTTGTTCTTTACTTTTCGTCGGTCATTCCTCTCTAGATCATCGAGCATGATTGCTGTTAGTTCGGTCTGAACATTGACATCTTTGCTCATTGTTTGCTCCGCCTGACCTTCCATCGTCATTTGCTTTATGGATAAGTATCAATACTTAAATATCAAAACATCAATTCTTATTTTTGGTGGCAAAGATGAAAAATTATTTGTAAAGAGAAACTACGCAGGTTTATTGTTCCGGCTATCGGTAACGCTTCCTGCGAATTCACTTGACTTCCTTTCAGTTGTGAGGATTTTCATACCACCGGATTCCGACCAGAATTTTAATGAAAAAACTCCAGCCAGAATCTGGTTGCAAGGAAATCGTCGGAATCCAAAGGAACCGGTAGGATTCGACTATGTAGCAATTACTTGAATATTTTGAAATCATTGAAAACGTAAGAACAAACGCAACTATATAAAAATTTGATTGGAAAGAATGACATACAAGGATGAGTCGCTTTCTTTTTTATCGACCCACTGACAAAGTTCTCCGAACAGTAGAAAAACTAGCTTTCATGCGGATAGATATGCATATATCTATTGAGAATAACGAAACTACATAGCGTTAGTAAAGATTACTTGTCTTGAAGGTTGTGATATACCGCTTAGAAGTTAGAAAAAGTGCAGTCGTATTGAACAGAACGTATGAATCGGAATATTGTATTTTTTCTAGATGGATCAATCAACTTTCGCGAATTGAAACTGATCAATGACAAATAGTTAGATGGTATAACTTAGAGAAAAAGAGCAACGATTCATAGGCAACGAAATAGAATAAAACGTGCGTAATGTATTTCAATATATGTACATTGAATATGAAGTAATGATATAGATCTTTATTTAAATCTAAAGACGACTTCACACGTCGTACAATAAATCAAATACAATAGTAATAATAATAATACTACCTTCCAACTGTAACTCTCACTCTCACGTTAACTTTCTCTCGACGTTTTTTTCTATCTCTTTTGATATGCATTCATTATTCTTCGTCATAAAATGAAATAAACGTTGAGTATAAACAAGGTCTGAATTAAAAGTGACAAGAAGATTATCGTAAAGAAATACATAAAGGATAGATAAACGAAATATATGAAGGATGAATGAAAGAGATATATGAAGGATAGATAAACGATATATATAAAGGATGTGTGCGTGTGAATGTGGGAGTATATGTGGATACTCGATACTAACACACACCCACACTCACCCTCGAGAATGACGTGTATCGATAATCTAAAGAAACGAAAATGAAGTATGTGGGTTTGATTGTATCTTTCTTATACTCACACCCACACCTTCATCTCCAAATATGCGATGAATAGAAGTAAGTGACAAAGAATCATCTATCAATTCAAATAAAATCATAAATTGTCAATTTTTTTTTTGAAATAGTTTGATGAATAAAAGCGCTAGAACAAACATTCAATTCTTTTATTTGTTTATATAATTTTCTAATGAATGAAGATTTTTTCTAATTATGTCTCATAATGAATTGATTATGGAGGAAAACTTGTTAACGGATGCAAATTTATTATTAAAAAAGAAAATATCATTAAATGATTTAAATAATATATTTGTAAATGTTATTCAAAAACAATATTATCTTTTTAAAAATATTTTAGAAGAAAAATCTCAATATATTGAAAAGGTTCTTAATCAAATTGTTGAAAATGAAAATTTATTATTTGAAAAATTTCTAAAAATTTCTTTAAAATCAAAGAAAAAAAAACGAAAACAAGAAATATTTTTTAGTTCAAAAAATCGAATAAAACAAATAAAAAGTTCAATTAATGATATTATTAATACAGTTAGTCAAAATTCATTTCGAATTTATTCAAATGATCAAGATATTTTAAAAATCTATTGGCGTTCATGTTCATCTAATGATACTCATTTTAATAATAATAATATCAACAAATTTCCTTTCTTTGATTCTTCTTTACCATATCAATGGAATTTTCCAAAATTAGAAAAAATAAAGCGTCATTCAATAATCATTTAAAATAATATTTTTCTTTATTTCTCAAATAGTATCTTTATTAGTTTCATCAATAAAAATAAATTGTATACTTTATTCGAACATTAAAATAGAGAATATATGGAAAATGAATGATATTGATAACTTGATGCTATTTTAAATTTGAATTATACTTGTATCGTACAAATATCAAAGAATTTATCAATAAAAAATTTCGTTTATTTAATATTAAATAATTACAGGTTTAAAAGATATTTATTGATATAAATGATCGTATTCATAGATTGATAATAAACGAAAATATTTCGATCATTGATTTATTGAGTACGACATGGAATACCTTGAGATTGTTGATGAGCATCATCATCTTCATCATCTTCTTCTGTATTATCTTGATGATCATTTTGAAAGTTCTCTTCTGTAATATCATATTTTGTCATTTGAACTGATTCAGAAAGTTCGTTACTATTCAATTTAATTTGTTTCTTCGATGGAAGAATAGATTGTAATTGCTACAGAAATTATTAAGAAAAATATAAATAAAATAAAATAAATGAATAATTTACTTTCGATTGATTTTCAGTTAAATGAAAATTTTCATCTGGAAATTTAACATCAAATTGAATAATTAAATCTCCATGTGAATGTGTATTTCTATTTGGCATTCCATAACCTTTTAAACAATGATAACTATTTGGTAAAATTGTTTTTCCACGAGGATGATCAATTAATATTTGATGACCATCTAATAATTTTATTAAACGTTGAAATCCACATAATGATTCAGTTAGATTTATTTCCATTTTCATTATTAAATTATCATTCTTTCGATTAAAAATTGAATGTGGTTCTTGTTTAAGAATAACATATAATGTTCCAGATGTTCCATTAGGCTAAAAAATAAGAAATAAAAATAAGAAATCTGAAATGATTTTATTTTTCAAAACTTACAATTTGATTTGCTTCACCAATAAATTTAATTATTTCTCCATTTTGACTTCCATGTACAATATTTACATCAAAGAGTTTCTCTTCTCGACAAACTTGTTTACCAAAACAAGTTTTACATCGATTTTTCTCATCTATTATGTTTCCATTTCCATTACATAATGAACATTGACTTTGTATTTGTTGAATAAATGGACCCATTCGATGTATTAACATTTCAATTCCTGTTCCATCACATTTTCTACATTGACGTGAAACACCATCATGACAACCAGTACTATTTAATAATAAACAAAAATATTTATTAGATTAAATAAATATATATAAAAAAATCATTTATACCCTTTACAATTCTTACAAACAATATCACGTTCAATTTTGATTGTTTTTGTATTACCCATATATAATTCTTCAAGAGAAACTCTAAAAAGAATAAATTTTACTTTTAAAGAAAATAAAAAAATTGTTTTGTTAATTACTTGAGAACATGTTTAATATCATTGCCTTTTTTCACTGTTCTCTCATTATGAAAATTTGGAAATGGAAAAGTTTCATTTTCAAGTCTTGATTGCATTCCATTTAATCCATATTGATCATACAAATTTCGTTTTTCTCGATCAGTCAAAATTCCTCTAGCTAAATTTACTTGTTGCATCTGAATTGAAAATAATATATAATAAATAATATCGATTTTCTTTTTTCAATATATTTACCATTTCATGATCTCCACCACGATCTGGATGATGTTCACGTGATTTTTGTCTGCAAGCCTAATTAAAATAAATAGTTCAGATATTAAAATTCTAATGGAATATTTTTCTTACTTGTGCAATTTTTTCTTGTGTTGCATTAGGTTCAACTTCAAGTATATCATAAAGTGTTCTATCGACAACCATTTTTTTTATTAAGAACGATTTGATGCTTTGTTACTAGTGTAAAATGAAATGATGAAAAAAATAAACACGTGCATTATATAGATGAAGATGTGTGTTTTTTCCCTTTCTTCATGACTAATACTGGTTATGACGAAATACATTACATCAGCTTTGTAGGAGAATAAAAAAAACTGTTCAGCAAAACGAAAGAATAATAGTTACGATTTGTCTGTGTCACACAAAAATAAATGCATGATTTTTTTGTTTTTAGTAAAATTTCCGAGAAAAAAAAAGGTGGATGTTTTAACGCAGTAAACTGCATATTATCTATAGTTATAACAATGGAAAA